ACCTGCTTAGCTTCAGTGGGTTGCAGTTGTAAGTTGCAGGGTGATATGGCTGCTGGCATAATATATAATATACTGCATTGCTTTCATTTTTTAGCAAGTATTTATTTTTGGTACAGTAATATTAAGAAAATAACAAGACATGTCTTACCTTCAGAATCTGCCCATCACTTTCAAGCAAATAAACTGTGATCTCAACATTTCTTGCCACACTTTTACCTCCTTTTTCAAACTCGCCTTTTTCCAAAGTGATATACAAATCATTCCTCATCTCCCCTGCAAAGGTGTAACAGCAGTGAGTTCATGAGCACTTTTAGAAGAAGAATACTGTATAAATGTGTAATTGACTGAAATAATGATAGTAGAAACTAGTTAGATTTAAGAGGTAAATACTACATACAATATATAAACATTTATAGTGTATAATAAACTATAGATTAACTGAACTGGTCATGTAAATACAGTATGGACAACCAATTACATAGAGAAATTATTTCACAAAAGTCTATACAAATTTTAAAGTGGCATTGACACTTTTTCTGAAACTAAATTTTGTGATTAAAAGTTTAAATTCTGAAAATAAATGATAAAGCTTAACTGTTCAGCAGTAAGATCAGTAGTCAAATTTTCTGTCTTCTGCTACCCAAGAACATAGATAAAATTCCTGCTTCCTGATTCACCAAAAAAATAAAATAATAAAAATAAAAAGGTATTTTAAGTTTACTTTGCTTTATTTTGATTTGGGAGGCCATTTAGAATCATTTGGGCTCAAGTCAAACACTTTCATGTTTTTGTTTTCACTATTCCAATATGTTAGGAACACTGCAGACACAGTTTCCAGCAATTCTTACAATGATTGCCATAGTCTAGTCTCAGCATAATCCTCCTGAAATGGTTAACTGTTCTTTTCTGTTGCCAAAACTAAAATAAAACATTAGGTGTTGTGCTGGTGTCGACCACCAGCAAATAAAAATACAATTATTTTAAAGAAACATCCCTTGTACACATCTTTTTAACATAATACAGACTTTCAACAAAGGATGAGTCACATTTGTGAACCTTGCACCTCTTAGGTTCTTATGTAAGCTGCAATTCAAATGGTATACCATACAGTAGGTGGAAGCACAAAGACACTACGCACTCAATGGACAGAAAAAAAAAGCTTTTTCATAAAATGTTTTTGGCTAGTAATAAACATCAGAAAAGCAAAGATCACATCCATCTTTCCAATTCAGGGTTGTTGGAGGACCAGAACCTACCCTGGCAAGCAATGGACACAAGGCAGGGTACTCCATGAAAGGGATGCCAGTCCACCACAGGGCATATATACTGTACAGACATGCAAAATCTCACACCTATGGTCAATTTTTTCAAATGCCAATTAGCCTATCAACATATTTGTGGTCTTTGGGTGGAAAACGGAGCATGAAGAGGAAACCCACATGAACACAGGGAAAGCATACAAACTCCACGCCGGTAGTAAGTACCAACATCCAGAATTGAACTCGGGACCCCAGTGCTGCAATGCTAACCACTGCGAGACTGTGCCACCCTCAAAGATCACATTTCTGGTTAATTTAACATTTGCATCAAATACTACATTACGAAAGTTACAGTTTTTAGTTATTGAAATCACTACTTCCAGTTGTTTTAGAACTGCTATTGCACCGCATGGACTTGAAGGGAAGTTTGTGACAATCATGAAGATCAATGAGTTGCCAAAATTCTCCACCTTTCTGAGCCTCTTCCTTTAATCTAGTCAGCAGGTGTTTCCTCTGCCTTGTTCTCCATGCCTTTAAACTGGCAAGTGACCGCAAGTCAACTCTGCATGCAATGTGACCCACAAAGGAACACAAGCTTGACGATCCCTTCCGTGAGATTCTGCCAGAGCAACATAAAAAAACTTGTTTTGCAATCAGCTATTGCTCTGTTCAGTGGGTTCAACAATGTGAAGCAATTACCTAAAATGCTTCAAATGTTTCTTAATTCTGCCATCCTAACAAGTAAACTGTGGTCTAGATAGTTTGGGGATCATGTTTTATATTGAACTGGCATGCCTACCATGATGAAACACTACTTTCTGCATAATTGTCCTTTCAGTTTCATGAGCAGTGGGACAAAAGGTGATCTGATAACAGTGATGGTCTTACGCAAGAAAGCTTAATGCAGTACTTTTGTATTGATTCAAAAAGGAAAAAAGATTAAAAAGTAAAAACAGAACTCCAGGCATTCTATTTCCCTTCAGTTTCTGTTTGCTTCTAGAAAAAACACACAGTGCCAATTAAAATAAATATATGGTGTGAAAACCACTGCAGTTAATTGTTAAGAATGCTTGCACTGGTTTTCTTTGAAGAAGGAAGGAAAGATCTCAAGCTCTGTACAGGAAACAAGCCAGTCACGCAGATATAAGGGCTTTTATAAATAGCATTTTTGACAAGCATAACAATGAAGCAACATGTTTCGCATTCACCAGAAGACTGGTCTTCTTCTTTTACCACCAGTAAAAAAGACATTACAGGTGGAAGGTGACTGTTAGAGCAGTCATTGAAACAACTGGTGCAACTGCACTCTAACAGCCAGAAGAAAAGCAAACTGAGATTGCATGTAATGGCTTTTTCTTGTAACACATTTTAACATTTATTTTATACAGTACATAGCATCTAATTATCTGCTTCTTCACTATAAAAATCCATACAGTAAGTCTTTGGAATATGGCAATTTGAAATGGAATGAGAAGAATTGGGATCATGCATTTATTAATAGCTTTTGCACCTTTTGAATTACATTTTTCACAGTATCTCAGTAATAAAAATACACTTTTTACCAGTATTATATGCAAATGATGACCTCATTCATGCAGCCAAATACCTTCTGTCCTGAGATTAGCTATAACAGCTACAGTATAACTATTTCATTTTACTTTTATAAAAACAAGTACTGAATTTCTTGGGAAAGGTAATTGTGAATGTCATTTAATATCAAAAGTTATTCAAAATACTTAGAATTGCAATATATAATTAAATTCACACATAAAAAACTTAGAACATTTTAAAGGGTATGAAAAATGTAAAGGGTATAAAATAACTATCAGATAAGTATTTGGATGCTGCTCTTGTACGTTTTAACCAATCCAAAACATTTAAGGAAAAACTCTGCAAGTCTACAGGTGTTACCTAAATTGTGGTAAACGCAAGGAAGGGATTATTTGACTGCACTATAACCCTGATTATGGGTTTCATCACTTTCCATCAGAAATTATTATAGTTCATTATAGTATAATGCCAAACCATAGAGAATGATGTATAAGATTTTTGGCAGGATGTTCACAAACATCATAAGATGTCTGAGGCAGTGTTATGCATTTATTTACCATAGTTAATACTCAACATCCTTGTAAGTTAAAACTCAAAGCAGAGCATATTGAAAAGGAAAGGGAAAGCATTCTGCTGGACTTTACTAAACTAAATTCTCCTAGTGAAATCAATTTCTGAAATAGACACAATATTATCTGATTAACTAATTGTCCTATTTTTATTTTCCGTAATAGAAAGGCCCCATTTTAAAGTTCATATTGAAGCCTGATAGCACTCTCTTATTATATTGAAGTGTCTGAGATGCTGGTCTAGAGATCACTTAATTCCCACCTGGCATTATAATGTCTGAGAAGCCCAGTTTCTTTGTTATGGCCACACCACGGGTGAATAGCACCATGTATTCTCTTCTGATCTGCTCAATGTCTCCATGAAGCAGCTGAAGAGAAACTGCAAGACCTGGAAAAAAAGGATATAACAATACTGAAGCCAAAGTAAAGCTATTCACAAGTCTTAAAAGTGCTACTAGATTTGAACTCATTTTAGAATTGGCTTGCTGCATATCAATTTCATGGACTGTCTTTAACTGACTTTGTACGTTCTGTGGTTCAGATTGGGTGTCCATCCAATGCAGAAATGTGAGATCTTTAAAAATCAACAAACAAAATCCCATGACTTATTCTAATGTTTAAATGTAGCAGTTACTATAATTTATAGTAGTTCTAATAAGATTAATTAGATAAACGTGAGGCAAGTGTGCTTTTCTAGCATTGCTATGTACAATCAGAAATACAGTATACTGTACATGTTTTGTATTTGAACATGAGGTTGTGTAAGTCTGTGCCAAGACAGACAAGGTTGCTGTTTTTTGCAAAACAATATGCAGACACTGGAAATATAACTGAAAATATAGTGGTCAATGCTCTTTAAAGTTATATAAAATAGTTTATAGTTTTATATAATAAATAGTGAATTAACAGTTTTGTGAAAATGGAAGCAACTTTTCCAATCCCTTCCAGCTCTTTTAGTTTTAATTCGCATTATTTGAGCTGTTTCAGGTTGTGAGAACAGCAGCTGTGGTCAGACCAACTGTTCAAGGACACGTGCACTCTGTAGTGTGGGTTAATTTCAGGTACGCAGCCGGACGCTAGTCCAGCAGGAAACACAAGCCCACAGAACGCAGAAAGAAACAGCAAAATCTAGCAATCAGAATATTTAAGCTACTAAAACCAAAGAATCAACAGAGAAAACAAAGCTCCTGTCAGTCCTCAGAATTGACTTCTCTACTGAAAACATGCATTCTGGATAGTATTCTTACATCTTACATGTAAAGTGTGAGTAATTTGGTTATATTGCCAACACTTAATCTGTGTAATTATGTACAGATAAAGACTTGAACCTTGAAAGTCTGCACTACTGTAGACAAAAATACATTTTTTATTGTTTTGATTATGCACACTGCAGCAAAGACATTTTTTATTAATCGTTTTCAATCAAACTGCCTTTTATTTGAAAATAACATTTTCCTCTCTCCATCTCATTCAATTGTATATTTTTGTATTAATCTATCAATTGATTCCTAGCTCCCTCTACAGATTTATACTTATCTCCAGAACATTTTATCTGGAGATAATTTCTATTATAACTGCTTATTTTAATTATTGTAACTACTTCAAGGCATCTTATAGCAATTACTTTCTGAATCTCTACAATAATTTGTTCTGCCTTTCCTTTGTGTGAGTGAGATTGCAAAATTAATAAAAAGCTGCAAGTTTGGCACTTTGTACAGTTGCAAATATCTAGTTATCTACTCTACTTCTTTTAAATGAAATAAAGAATAATACAAATCAAGCCCATTCATTTTCTAAATTAGTTTTTCTTGAGAATATTTCCACCAATGCTAATAACTGAAATGTAATGATCTATGTTTTTTATTCTGCAAGATTATGAAGCTTAATACTTTACTGGTCTGAACACATTCTATTTCATTTTATAATTTAATTTTAGGAGCACATTACTCAAAGATGAAATGAAAGAATTATCACAGGGTGCATAATATTGAAGGAGACAAACCATGTAATGCACAATAAATATTTTACTTGAAGATTAATTTGACTATAAAATTGCAGAAAGTAACTTGCTATTTATATTGGTAATTAAAAAAACTTTTCCAAAAATATTATGCAAGTATTCAATGATTAGATTAAAACACCTTCTAAGTGACATCACACTCCACTTATATATATTTCTTGGACTATATGAGTAGTGATTACTATCATCACAGCTACATTAAATTTTAAAATTTAAAAATTAAATATTAAATTTAAAACAAACATGTTTTTATTCTGCTTATTTTAAAATATAAATTTTGTTTCTCTCTAATTTAAACATAAAACTTACTGTAACAAACCAATATAATTTTTTATATCATGTATATGTCTGTTGTTTCATCATGTTATAGTGTTTATGAAGGAGTTATGACATTATGTTAGTCATATTCAAGTTAAGCATTACTAATCTTTATTAATATATTGTATACACAATTTATTAATTTTACCATAATTTGAATAGTAATATAATACAAAATATATATACAATTTCATATTTTGCAAAGATTCATGATCATTATGACTCACTGGTTTTTGCTAATAAAAGATCATTTAAAAAAAGGTAAAGGACAAAAAAGTCCATTTAAAACATCTGAAACACAATAATTTGTGATCACTGGAAGCTGTTCTTATTTCAGATGTTAAATCTATCAACATGAATGCATTTATTTTTATTTATATCAGTAAAAGAGATACAGAAATATGAGAGAAAATGTCTCTTTCTTTTTTGATGATGAATTTAAAAATGAATAAAATGTGTACAATTCTTAAAAACTGTTTTAACTGTTGACAGTAATTTCAAGCAGCTTTCGTTGCAGCATTTCACAAAAAGCTGTAGATAACTTCACTTCATGCTGATGATATTACAGAATACCAGATGGCAGGTTCTGATTTCACGACACCATAACTTTAGTGAACTTTTCTACAGTAATAATCTGTGCTGTTAGCAAGCAAAAACCTTTGACATTAAATCTGCTTATGAAGTAGTAACTGTGCTGCATAATCACACATGCTGTGCGGTTCTGTACATTTGTATACCTTTACCACACAGCAGGTTAAAAAGAATGCCTACTTCTTAAGCAAGAGCAATCACTTACTAGGTTGTTTTGTCCACCCTAGGAAAATTCTCAAAACATATGCATGATAGCCTGCTTTTAATTTTCAAAAAAGTAAGGAAAGAAAACTTACCAGTATTGGAGCCAGAGAGGTTGTATCTAGCATTGACTTTCTTAATTATATTTTCATGTATTTGATACCATTCACTTTCAGTGTTGCACCTGTTAAAATACATTTCAAATATTGTAAAGATTAAAGCAAGTCCAAGGATGTCATATTTAACAATATGTAAATTTGGATACACAGCCTCAGAAGATCATGAATCAAGCCTATGACTGAAAAAGATGCATGTCAGGAACATACTGTATGTAAAGCAAATTTTTACAGCTTATCATTAAAGTTCTAAAAATTTACAATGTAATCTTATAATTGAACCAAGAGCTCCTTTTGAAACTATAAACATACAAACTGATGTAATATCAATTCATAATTGCCACAACGTGGGCCTGAAAAAATATTACAAAAGCTAGTTTTTGACATTAATGTACTGTATGCAAGTCAAAAGCTTTTAGCCTTCTGATCATAGTGCAAAATGTGCTGTGATGCTATTTGATAAATCCCTCTTCTCATTTGAGATTAATAAAAATTAAGGTTTTAAAATAGTTAACTTTTTTACTTTGAAGATGGTTTCTGTACAAAACAGTGCCATTTAGGGTCATATTATGTTAACCATAACTGTGAATATAACATAACTGTGAAGGTAAAAATATTCAACTGTTTAGAAGACAATTAGTATGTAGACCTGAGGTTACATGAGGTGTTATTACTGACGGATGTTGACCTAAATTCAGAATGTCTTGCGTTCCCTACAGTAGCTCCAGTAAGTAAAGCCAATTTTATGTTATATACAATTATCTAATTACAGGATATAAAGCACATTGACTTAAAAGACAGTTAGTTTCAATAAAGGAAAAACCTTCTAAAACATTTTTCTGAAGCATACATGAGAGAAAACATCAATTATAACTACAGTACTACAACAATACACTAAAGTAAAATACTCTATATAATTAAAAACACTAAATTGCTTTAAGACATGTATTTCCTCTCAAACATGAATGGGGTGAAATTACTTAGATCTTACATATACAGTACTGTCACAATCTGTCAAATAATCAGATTATTAATAAAACAATAGCTGCTTATATGATTCTACACCTTTGAAAAATGACTGTTAAGACTGGTGACAGGACACACAGGAGGGCATTCAATCTATATTTCTCTATACATTGTAACTGCACCTGTTTATTTTTACAATGTAGCTAAAGACAGCTTTATCTCCAAGCTATATATAGAATTGGGGGCTATCCAAACATAGCAAGAGGGGATTTCATTCTGTGTTTCAGTGCCAGTTCTCACAGTTCCTTTATGAGTGATCTCCAGCAAACAATACGTATACATACACATATTTAAATATATATGTTAATTACAAAAGACACAAATAAAATGGTACGCTTCTGTGTAACGTGGACACTACATGTGTACAGTATGTCCCCTGTTGATTGGAGCTGGCTAACAGACTAGTGTTTAAAAAACAGAGCAACACTTTATTCTCTCAGACATGCTGTGGTGCAGCATTGACGTCAGCATGTTTAGCTCTATAACACGGACATTTATCAGAAAAAAAGAAATGCAAATTTATAATGTAAAATGTAAGCTACAGAGGGGGATTCAACAGCCCTAGTCCTGGAAAATCACAATTTAGCAGGTTTCATAGGGCACTCTTGAATGGTCAATTTGTAAAGACTTGGGACAGGTGAATGCATCTGTATTTAGAAAATCAACTGATTCAATTAAATTAGGAATGACCTACTGTGGGTCTAGTAGTCTAGTAGTCTGTAAGAAGGTGACAATATTTTATTTATTTAATTATCTTTATTGTACAAATTACCTCCTTAAAATGGACAAAATGAAAGTAATCCAAGTGTTTAGAAATTGATGATTTGAGGATAACACATAAAGCCTCCTGGATTGTGACTCTCCAGGACCAGGATCAGGGCTGGGAATGGGTCAATATTTACAATATTTAAATTATCTTTTAGTGTTACCAGGTTAGCAGCTGGCACATCTAAAGCGAATCTGATCCATTCCAGTAGGTCATAGTGGTCAGTAACACATGGCCCACAACATGCACACTGATGCCACACATGAACTTACGTGTAAACTTTCAAAATGTGATCATCTTTAGAGTCCGTAGTTAAGAGGTCAGCTATGCTGATCACTGCGCAGCCAAAGGGCCGTCTGTACTGCACATTGCTCACATTCTTCTTCTCCCCTGCCCCCATTCGCCCTGCAGAAAATCCAGAACAAGACACATGCTTTGATCTTCAAGAAGAACTGAGGTGCGAACGGTGAAACAGAGATGTTTTATGAACCACCTAAATGAGGCTAAAGCAGCCTAGTTAGTATATATAGCAATGGAGAACAATAAATAAATATATTGAATGGAGTATACTGTACATATGAATGACGTAAACAGATTATTATACTTCATATAATTGACTATACAGATCAATTATATGTACACAATATCATATGCAGCAGGCAAAAAGGGAATAAATCCCATGGGCATCCTAGCTTTAGGCTGACACTGACAGAATTAATCATCTTTATAGTGCAGCAGGATCTTACCTATTCTTATAATGTGAACTGTAATATACACATCTTTTCGTATATCACTGCTCCCCAAATCCTGCAAAAAGATCAAGTCAATTAATGTTCCTGGCAAATACAAATACAAATACAAAATTCAAATTCAAACAAAGCCAGAAGTGGATAATGACAGTAGGATAGTGGTGATTGTCAGATCAGAACCAAGAAATAGGCTAAAAGTAACTAGTAAATACTAGTAACATGTAAAATGCTTCAGACTCTCAGATGAGCTAGAATGCACTGGGTTCTGTTCAATCATTCTTGCCACCTTACTTAAGCAATAATGCCCATTATATGCAGTATTCTCTGCAAACTAATCATACATACCTAAAATTATTCTATAGAAGCCTAAACACTGATGGCTAATGAAAGATGAAGATATTTCTGAAAGGGTAGAAAATTAAAAACTAATATATGTTAATAAGGTCATTTCCTGAATTTGTTCACTAAAATGTATTCAAAATCCCCATATATGGTGTGTATAAAAACACTGTGTGTTAGGGATACTGTATATTTCAACCTCAGAAAATCTGTCAGAGGAAAGTCATTTAAAAGTCAAAATGAATGGCTAACTTCTGGACCAAATGGAATGCTCATACAAATGTTTACATTTCGGTGGTAAAACACTTACTACAAAAAGAGTACACTGTCTTTCAGTTTTCTCTGGAGATTTTGGTAAACCATTCTTATTCAGCCTCACAAAGAATCTTTCACTGCAAGAAAAAGAACAGAATTCTAATTAATGTTTGTAAGAGAACAGCAGCACGATACTTTCCAGTTTGTTTCATTATTCAACAAGATGTGAAGAGAAAACCCCATGACAGAAAATTTGAACACCTATTCAGTTCAGTTAACTACCACAGTAAGTTAATATTGATTTCAACTTTTGCTACAAAAACACTTAAAAACTATTTTAGAATCTTTGATGTTGAACTATTTTATTTTAATCAAATAAAACCCTTCTGCAACCATGATGTCTCCACTTGACCTCTCTTTATCACTAAAATACCATTTTAAGACAATGGATTAATCTAAAAAATACTGATTCTGAATTCAGTTTATTACAGTGTAAGACTGAGATTTTTAGAAATTACTTGCACTTGCAAAGGGAGGCTTAAACTACATTTTGAAAATGGACAAAACAAAAAGTCCCAATATAATGGCTTATAATTTAACAAAGCCCAATCCCATTATTTACATGGCAATCAACTATCATTATTTCTACTTGGAAGATTATGAAAAAGAAAACTTCACCAGTTTATCTTTCTTGGTGCAGTATATTAATATGGGTAGTATCTTATTTCATGCTTCCACTAGTAGATATGATCAAAAACTACTTATTTTGTAGTGTTAAGCTTCCAAGCTGAATAAAAGGAAGTTTGTGGTTTGAGGGTACAGAGAAGCTCATTCCATGTTGCGATTGTTCTGCTGACTGCAGAACAGAGGGGTAATCCAGTTACGTGACTTTCACAGTTGCAAGATAAATCCTGTAAAGTATCATCATCAGAACAATGGCAGTCTTTTGCTTAACAACGATCCAGCAGTGCTGCTGTAGCCAGTTCCAGAAAATACCTTAGCATTAAGCTGTGCAGCACGTCAAAGACTAATTAACACTGCATTGCTGAAATCTTTGTCTCCAATTAACACAGCCCCTATGCACAAAGGCTCATTGCACCCGAGTACTTAGCTGCTTGTTGATGATCAGGGTCTTTCAGACATTTTTTTAAATGATCTGGCAGTGTATTAGCATATTGATATTTATCCACATTTCAAATATAATCTCCAAACTTTATGGAAAAATGTGTTATTGTTTGCAGTTCTAATTGCGCCTAAGATTCTTTTCCATCATTTCCTGTCACGGTAATATTAATTCTTCAATTCATACAAAAATTAGTTTACACGTATTGAACTTCAAAGTGTGATTTGCAAGGCTCTCAAGGGTAACAAAGACAAATAGAAATGAGTTATTTCAGCTTCTCTAGAGATGCAACAGTGGAAATGAATCTCCTGCTTGATGAGCAGAAACCCCCCCCGCCCCCCAACTTGAATGAAGAGCAGTGCTGTAGCATGTACAAAGTATTACTTGAGCACTGCATCACAGGGCAGTCCTAATCTACGTTCCTCTGCAAAACTGCACATAAATCAAAGCCTTTTGACTATCTGTTGTGTTACATGAATATAAGATGAATAATGTAATTATTGAGCTGTCCGCAGTGAAGATAAACAGACTTCCAAAGTATCCAAGTACATTATCGTGCAGTGTTGTGTCAAGATGCACAGACAGGACAAGCACAGGCTAGTTGCATGGGTAATACATTAGTGCCTTGTTTAATTTGACCAACAATGTGATGAGATAATGTTTACTTTCATGGAGGGGCAAAGAACTCAACATGATTGAACACTGACACCTCCACAGAAGACAGCCAAATATTAGAACTGAACAAATGAATTTTGCCTGGGTAACATTTTCAGCCTGCTTTTGTTGTGCCTTTCGTTTTATTTTAATCTCCAGCAGCTGCAGTGGTTGAAAAGGGTTTATATAGGCGGCAGAGGCTCTACTGGCTTGGTGATGAATCTGAGAGTTCAACCTCCAGCTGGTGTAACTGAAGCCCAGACAAAAGTCAAAATATAATTAGTTGACTCTGTGCCAAAAGGAGAGAACTTGTGCCATGCCTGGAAATATGCCATCTGAATTAGCTCTGTATCCTGATAGATGAGAGACGTGGACACCCACCAAGAAGATAAACCACAATAAACCCTAATCTGAAATACGAGCACAATGAGAGTGGATTTGAGAGTGATAATGCTTTATGCAGCCTCCCACAGTAAGTAATTAGATGAGGCCAGATAAAATACCATGTCTACTGTATGTACTGTAGTATAATTTATGGAAAGCTAGCATATTGAAAGAAGTCTCTTGTAAAAAGGTTTTTGCTTCTAGAGTAGTTATATGAAAGTTAGATAAAGCACAGGAAAAATACTCTTTTTATGCAGTAGCTAATTAACATTTCTGATTTTAAAAACATTTGTTTTTTAAACACATTCTTAAAAACTAAAAAATCAGTTTATTTGAATCTCATCAAGACATATAACTGCACATTTCTAGGCACATTTTAAGAAACAATTTTGCAATGTAACAATTTACAAATGCTGCTGTTCTACACGGTTTTGCTAATTTTAAAGACGAAGTATGTGAAGGACTGGATTATATCCCTGGATCAATCAGCAATTAGCGACCAAATGAGCTGGGTGAGCCAAATGGCCACATCTCAGTTGCAATGTTGTGTCTTTTTTCCTTGCAAAGATGCTTGCAAGCTCTTCTAATGTAGTCCAACATTAACAGATTTAAATGCATCCATTTAAATTTAAATAAAGCACATTTAATTAGGATATTATTTAAATATTGATTGAAATAATTAAGTATCTTACATAAGAATAAGTTATTTTATAAAGAAAAATGTAAAAAATATATAAAAATAAATACACAGTTGTGTGGGTAAAGATGTATGATTTCATCCGCTAATATTAGATCAAATGTACCACATGCCTGTCAGGAAGGAAGATATCTGACCAGACTGAAACACAGAAATGAAACAGAAGTCAGAAATAAATATTCTCTAAGGCAAAAAGAAAAATTTAACAATATAACGATTGCTGCACTAATCCACTAGTACTTTTTATGGACTATGAATGCAAAGTATACCTCACAGCAAGACAAGTCTTATCTAAATCTTTTAGAGATATATTTGCATTCAAATGTACATGATCAAAACCATCTTTTTAAGTGGTTTCTTATATGTGGAGGCTGTTCAACCATCCACAAATTTTTTGTACCCCTTTCTTCTAAAATGAAATGCCTGGATGAGTCAGAGTGCAATCAGACAGAGGGAACAAGGAAGGACAACACACTCCATATGAGGCTTGTCCATCGCAGTGCATATACTCACAGTACTTAAGGAATTAGCAATTAATGCCTCGGGACTGTAAGAAGCAACCAGAGATAGAAAATCCCACATGGACATTACAAAAACATGACAACTCCACAGTCTCTGGAACTGAATACAGGACCCAAGAGCTGTGAGGAAGCAAGAAGTTACTGAACTGTGGGGGACATTTAGTTCAGCAGTCACGATACCACTAGGTGTTTCTGATCCATCTGAACTCCAAAATCGATCGTGTCAATGAAATAATATGTCAAACTTGTTGAGGTTTTGTGACGGGTGGTCTCCCAGATTGTAGCTTGTGTTTGACCCTTTTCAAAAAACCACACAACTGTGGGAAATCAAGCTGAAGATTTCTTTAACGAAATAAAAGAAAGGAGGACAGACTAGCTAGCATTTAGTTAGCCCACTTCTCACTCACTTTCCCAAAACTTTCATACAAAAACACACATTTATGATCTATGATTGGATGGTAGAAGCTTTTTACTATATGAGGTGTAAACAAGGTCAGAAAGTAAGGTGGTTAGATCAGCCTTGGGCAATTAATCAACACCTCTAATTAGCCAAGACTCCTGTTCCTTTTCATGTTGGCTAAGTCAAGCATAGGATACATGAGGTAGACCTCCAGAGACCTTTAAGAACCTAGTGGTAATGCACAAAACAGTAAAACAGTACTTGAGGGTTTAATTGTTTACTCATAACAGTCACAGGTTCATTCACTTGTCACTGACAGGTGCGATTTTCTGTAACATCTTGTAAGGTTAGAAGTTGCTTGCTATGTTCAGCAAGCAACAGTGGATTGGACTCAATCCAATCTCCACCACACTGATTTATTCACAAAGGTATTGTTCTGTCGAAGCAGGTCATATCGGTTTCATCATGTATCTTCAGGCTTCACATTAAACAGGTTAGATTAACTCATGGCCTGTACCAAATCAACCCTCTCACTAATGAGATGACAGTAATCTGTGATGAGGCATCAACTGTGAAATGTACTTGAGTTTATCATGGTCAGTCAGGAATGATCAATTAATCAAAATGATGCCAAGAACATTTAATAAATATACAAAATTCATTAAGGTTTATTAAAAAAAAGAGTACATTTATCAAAACTCTGTTGCTGAATGGACAAATATTTCACTCCAGGTAGAAATGATCAGATAAAAAAATCAAACATCTGAATTATCCTAAATTCCTGATAGTAATTTTAAAAGACTAAAAACTGCAAATCTAATGGGTCTGGAAAAGAATACTGAATTGAATGTATTTCATCTGAGCAAAATGATTTGAAATTGTTGATGTAAATTAAAAGGTGCCAGAGTACAAATTGTAAGCAAGCAAACTCGCAATGACAACAATTAACAATTACAAATCGCTAAATGGCAAAAAAAGATTACAATTGAAATTAAAAGTACTGTCGAAAGAGGTTAAGTATTATGGTATTTAGGCAGCAAACCGAACTGCTTCGTATAAAAGTCAAGAAATCACATTTAGCGATTTTCATTTTTCAACTATTTCAGGGAAGAGTTTCCCAAGAACCACAAAAACATCATATAATCTTTTAATTTAATTCACTAAGCTCATGTATTGAGAATTTTTAAAACTATTAATCTGCAAAACCCACATGCTGGTGTACAATTAAATGAGTATTGACATATCATGTGGGAGAGACAAGTAAAACTACATACAGTCACATACACAAAGCATGTGACTAGAAAGTCACCATATGTTGAAGTTGTGAAAGCTTGGCCTTCTCTTCAGAGCTGCTCATGCTGTTTGCCCATTTTGGTGGTTTTTAAATACACTAGAGGTTCACTTAATTGACAATCCACCCTGCACACTCTCAAAAAATTCTTTAATTTCTCTCCCATAACAGCTGTGGATATGCAAACCCACTACCTTCATTATGCAAATTGTTTAGACCACAAAAATCTAAATACAAACCCACTTGACACAGTGTAACTGCCTCTGACTAATAACAATAGGATGCTTTAATACTTGAAGAGGAAGGGAGACATGATTTTCTCATGGCTTTCAGGGGAGAGTATAAGCTTATTAACTACTTTTACCCACTGTGCCATCTTGCCTTTATGTTGAACACAGTATACATGTGTTCAATATCCCTTTTCAATTGAAGCATTATATAATTTCAAAGAAAAATGTTTACTTAATATGGTTTGTAAAAAAAAACATTACCAATCACTTTTCTACTAGATATATTCCCAATGTAGCCTGAAGGAATGATATGTCTCAGCTGTGAGCTTGGAGAATTCTATTCACAACCAATGAATGACATATCCCAGGCTTGAACCCATGGTGTCTAGACTATAGAGCTCAATCTGCATCTTTACTGGATCATCTTTACTTGTGAGCATCAGAAACGACTCAAACATGTAATCCTAAAGTACAGCTTTAACTCCATCTCAGAGCAACACCATCGCCAAGAGAGGAGAAGGTATATGAATGCTCTTGGCTCAGGCAGTTAAGCAAGACAGTTTTGTCGTGGGTTGAAGTCAATCAGAGGATGTTGCTGAAATACTGAGCTCTGCCAACTAAAATGTGGATGACAGCTTTCATCTTTTAGAAATGTTCTTGTTAGGTGCTGGATAACTGGGACATTGGCAAGGCTTGCACGATGCACCACGCTGGAGCTCTAAATGCTGCATCATTTGTCAAAGCAGATATGTAACTAAACAGTTCACATCTAGGGATGACCACAAATGCCATTTGATCTACTCTATTGTTGATTGAGGTTTGACTTCCAGAGGCCTTTTCATTTTTAAAACAGACCTGTTAATGCAACAATTTAAACCATAGTTTACTGGAATTGTGCAGTATGCATTCAAACAGCAGTGGTGTCAAACTCATGAAGTCAAACGCAGGGCCAGATATGAATTAAATGTAATTCAAGTGGGACATATATATCTGTACCAGAAATTACCAAAATTCTAGGAAATCCATTACATACTGTAGCATTTATTTTACAACAAAATACCTCCTTTGGAAATGCAATAATCAGTCATTGTGTCTTCAATTTAGTTTACTCATTACCTTCTGAATATGTTATGTTTTTAAGCATTGCAAATTGGGGTTATTTGAAATTACAGTTGAGATTATTGGGCAGTACACAGAACTGTTATGATGAAAAAAGTCAGGATATTTAGTTCAATACCTGGAGAAAATAAAATCAGCAACTATATACACCCACCCCATGTGTGCAGCAAAAAGTACAGATTAGTACCCATTTTTTAATATAGAAGGCAAATTTTCACTACAATGAAGGCATTTCATTTAGTTGTAGACACTTGTGTTCTTGTTTAAACATAATTTTCATTATTGAACATTCTCCTTATTTTTTAAGATTTTGTCAAAAGTAACTTTGTCAAGTAAATAAGGAAAGTATCCTCCTGGCTCTAAAACAAAGTGATAGAAAATAGCAGAGGGGCATACAAAACATCTGCATTGCATTCACAATAGCTGCTATGCTAAATTTACAATTTTTACCGAACTTGTCTTAACTACTTTACTAAATTAAATGGCTAACTATCATAAAAAAATACCAATGTTGTAATTTTGATAATGTGGCATTCTTAAGGTATTAATAAGTAATATTGGGCAGTCTTTTAGACCTTGCGAATAATATATTAGGTTTTACCTATAAAGTAATGGGGATCTAATTTTTTTTAAGTTCTAAATTTTGAAATTGCCAATATATTTTTATGTTTGACACCCCAGCAGCACAGTTACGAACACTTAAAAACTAAGGAATTTCTTTGGGACTATACAGTATATAATGTTTCGTCATGGCAGAGCTAAAGGAAAAATACCTTATTGGGCGGTTCTCTCTGCTGTCATAGAGAGAAAAGAAAACTTCCAGTTCTTCTCCAAGGTTAGAACACATGAGGCTTTTCATCTGCACAAACAAATGATGTGTGCTCGCAGGAAGCGGGGTTTCTTTCTTACGATGTCGGTGCTCCATCTACAAACACATGAACAACTCTTTTTAGAATAAAGTTTGAATATATATACAAAAAATTCACATTCTTCCTTCATGTGTGACGGAAAAATAAAAGCAAACAAATGGAAAAAGTCACTCACACAAACCAAACTTTTATTTAATACTACCACTCTGTTGCACTTCCTACTGCACTCCCCTTGCAATAGTTTTTGCTGCTTTTGAGTCATTACAAGTAGCACTTGTACCATTTTAATTTCTGAGATAAGTAATTATTTTTGGGTGGAGAAACAACATTTAGACCCACAACAACAATATGGATTGGAAATGAATTGGGAGTCCCTGTGCAGTTTGTCAGGGGGCAAACTTACGGGGCCAGTGATGTCACTCCCCAAAAAAGACTTCCTAATTCCTTTCAGAATCCAAAACAGCACAAATGCACGTTTGAAAGGCATAATCCAGCACAAACACAGAACAAACAAATAAGACCAATTTGGTTCTCCAGTGCCATTGTTGGTGACATCAGCCCCCCGCCCCCATTTGCAACACAAATGCTGCTTTAAAAGCTCAAACTAGCACAAACATAACACAAATTAAAGCATTGGGAGTCATTGCCTGTGCTGTCTGTAGGAGGCCCAAATTTAAGGAGCTGGTAACTATATGTACAGCATGTGCTTTGCCTTTGGGAGAATATGATCCCATTTAATATAGAAATTAAGGAAATTAAAGAAATACATTTACACCTCTAAAGAAGCCATCAAGAAAACACAAGCATTTTACAGTCTGTTATTTGAGGTACAAAAGGATTAAAAAAATGTTCATGTATTCTGCAATTGGCCCACAGTGGTATACATTCTAGTGCCTACAGGCCACTCAACTGTTGGCATAAAGCCTTTAGGAGAACAGTGCTGTAATTGAAAACAAACCACATTTAACCCCCTGACCCTCTGAAGGCACAGTGTCTATAGCGATCATTTTCACTTCAACAAAATATCTATGATGAATTATTCATATACGCTACAGGGGATATTCATATAATATTTAGATCTATACTTATGTTTAGACCCTCTTTTCTGAAAATAAAAGCAAAATGTTGAAGCTGTAAGGTATCACAGAAATCCTTTAAGAGGCTAAAGAATCTCCCTATACATATTTTAAACATTTAATTTTGATTCTGCTACAATACTTTTTTTCAGAACAGAAGAGTAAATATAGCACAAAGGAAAAGGCTTCATGAAAAATCCTTTGTGGCTTTGTCTGAACACTACACACCTTAAAACATTTTCTTGACTCTATAGAGCACCACAGGACAGATATAGCATCGTTTCATTTATACTCTAACTCTTGAAAATATTTCTTTATATTCTTCACTCTTGTAACTTTGTTAGGAGTGGTACTGTAGGTACTTTTTTTTCCCAGCATAAATGGTAAAAATATTGGTATTAATCTTATGTGGCAAATGTAATGTGTTCTCAGCATTTGTCAATGTCTGGCTTAGGAAACCGCTGCAGTTTTAACAAATAATGACAAAACAGAACTAAGCCATTAGGAAATGGTAATGACTTCCAGTTGACTTACTGTATATCCTTACAAATATACGTATATTCTAATTTGGAAGCTGTAATATTCTACTTTCAGAATTTGTACTTGAATGACATGTTCTACTTTATATATTTTATTCTTGTTTGGGTGCACTTCTGCATAAAAAATCTAAAATGTTTTTTTCCTTTTAGTTTTTTCTTTTTGTACAAGGATATTACTTTTTGAGCCTGCAGTAAGGAGATCTGAAGGGAGTTTGCAGATTACCAGCCAGCTAGATTTAGTTTTCCAGTCACCGATGCAATATATTCTTCCTGTATTGTTAATACATAGGTTGTATTTTGCAGGTTTTACAATAAAAGAAAAGCTGAAGCTGTCTGCAAATACTCATCAAAAATCCCATGTAAATCAAAGGCATTAACAAAGTCATCCCTGTGGAGTTTTTCAGAAGGAATAGTGAAACACAAACCAGAAGTGGAAACTAACATGAGTGCATTCAAAACAGGAAGCAAATCTTTACCCAAAAGGTTGCGAAAGTATTGAACAAATAACAAGGCCATATGATAAAAATAAAAAGCCCATTTTTTTTGTTACTCGCAAGTATCTTGTTATTCCACTTTCAAGAATAATTTGCATGCACTCAAGTTCAGAGCATCTCACTTTGCAGGGTTTCTTGTAGTCACTTCTCAGCAGCTATCTGAAATCATGACTAAAATGAAATTCACCACTTTCTTGGATAATGCATCTACTTCCCTGCTATGTTCAAATATCCCAATCTCACACACTTTATCAATGAATCATTAAAGTCTGGAACTCATCGCTTGGCTCTTAAACTTGCAGTTTATATTCTGCTTTATAAAAAAGTAGAAGTTTGACTCCTGCCTTATCAGTAATTATCAACCAAATGTCTTAAGTCATGTTTTTGGCAAAATGTCTGGAACAGGCAGTTCAGTAACAAGCTCACTTATGTGCAATTAAATTGTATAAACCTTTTCAGTTCAGTTCAGATCAATGCATGATACTAATGATTTGCCAGTGACTGATGACTAGGATTTTTTATCTTGCTGGACCTTAGTGCTACCTTTGATACTGCTGATCAAATGATTTTGCTAACTGAAGGGGGGGGTATTGTTGTCTATCCAGTCATCTCCGAAAGTACAATTGGTTAGTATCAGTTGTTACTCCTCCTCTAAACAGTTTATCACTTCTGGCCCACGTGGTTCTGTTCTTGGACCAGTTCTTTTTAAACATAAAGATTATGTTTACTGTGTTGTAAAGGTTGCTTTTTATCTCCATAACACTTCACACATCCACACACATCTCTCCCAGTCTTGATTATTGTAATGCAGAGCTTCCTGGCAAATATGTTCTTCAGCTGCACCATTTTTAGAACTCAGCTACTTGGATCTTTACAAAAACTAAAATGCAGGAGTATACTGTATATCACCTGTGTTAAGTTCTTTACTTTAATGATCCAGCAGTGATTGAATGAGTTCAGTGTAAAATTCCCATTTTACCGTTGCTTACATTTAAGGGCCTTGGCTACAATGCACTGTTTATCCCTACACAATCCCTATTGTGCTCTCTGTACTCTTGCCTTCTGCCATTTCCCAAAATGAGGCTCAGGGCACCAGGAGAATTTCATGCTTTCTGTTCTGTTGGTCCAAATACCATCACATTTCAGTTTCTGCAAGTCAGGCAGTACTTTCAGATCCTATATTAAAAACTAATTTTTATACTCCTTTGATTTCAGTTTACAGCATTTGTTTGGTATACCTGCCTCTTTTGACTGTTTAATTTAAAAAAATGTGATGATTTAATGCATTTTGTGGTATATTGAAAAGGTTATTTATTACCATTAATAAAAGCACTTTTAGATTTCTGGCCATATTGTTGAAGAATCGATTTTCTAATACACTGTCCATTGGGATTCTTATTCTATACAAATACGAATTTAAAGAGGTATCAAACTATTAAGGAAGAAAATCTTTAAAATGGATTTAAAAGTGTGAATTAATTTTACATTGCTACAATATTTACAATTTAAAATTTGCAGAGATTTCTTTGTAATGAGAAGTCTACTTCTAATTTTTAAACATATTAATCGATTATGATTATGACAATGGCAATAAATATTAACTGTTTCCTCTATTATGCAAACATGTGCCATACAGTACATGACAAATCAAGATTTAAGAACATCTTTTTTAAATCCAGAGTTGGGTGTAACAACTAGAACATGCTGCTGGAATTAACATCAATTTGGACAGCAAAAAGGGCTGTGCAGGTCATCTAAAGGAAATGGTGGATGTATCAAAAAGTATATATATATATAAATAAATGCCAACCCATACTTTACTACATAATTAAAACACAAACACTATATGTGCTCTAACCTGGGATCTTGGGATTTACAGTAACATGGAAAAATCCAAACACACAGTTTGTCAAACATGTTGAGAGTACAGCAGCCTGAATGCCAACTCATATTTTAAGGGAAAAACCTGTTATTGTTACACAGGTCAAAAACAAGCAAAAATATTTACCCCTTTGTGATGTTTGTTTCATTTTGTGGGTGAACAATGTTTTTTGTTAATGTTTATTAAAGACAAGTGCATTTGGGTTAATTTGTGGTGTGAAAGGTGCAGCCGGGAAAAAGAGCAAAGTCAGAGTTTTCAGCACAGCACAAGGATTTAAAGAAAAGAGTTTCCTTCAGGAAGCAGCCTGTGTTTTAATGCAAATTCCAAATAAAATTAACTGAGTAGTATTATAAAGAGAGAGACAGTCTTGTAATAAATTAGTAAATACTAAATCAGAGAAACAGCTCTTCAGGCTGCTCATATGTTAACCAAAAACTGCAGCTTTTACAGATTGTTTAATTTTGAAATGCACAAGCGCTAACATTTATGTCCAACTCAATATTTAAAGGTTTCAAAACCAAGTCTGAAATTATATCTTCCATTTCCAAAGCACAGTTAGAGGCAACCACTGTGGAAGGACATCTGCATTACCTGCTGATCTGATGAAATAGCTAGAGTGATTTACAGCAAGTACAAGTGGTTTTCCCACTCACTGTGATGAATCAGTTGATGACACTGTCCTGCTGGATATCTTTTGTCAAATGGCATTAATTTGAAGACTTCACCATTAATTATTGACATTATTAAATGTATTGATTATTCTGGTTATGGCTTTCTAGGTTACAACCTAAATTTTTTGTCCAAAAAAATGTGCGGATTGGCCAATTATCAATACCAACTGGTAGTGTGCCAGCACTGACTTGGCAATATGCCCGTTTCCTTGCAAATTGCAAAGCAGGTCACAGTTCCCTCATTTCTCGAACTACCACAGTATCATTCACCAATTAGAAATTTGAGATAAAGTAATGGGGTTTAATCTCGTTATTATACCAGATGTTAAAATTACTACTTCAATTTCTGTTATAGTGTTACATCGCTATCATCTCCATTATCCAACATAGTGATTTTTTAATTGACACTGCTTTCTGTTACCTGTCTTGGAAATCAGAGCCTTTATGGAGTTCAGAAATGACAGTACCCCACAAGTAGCCGATGTGTGGCTCTTTTACTTTGCATTTCTGACAGTTGTGACAAAAAATTGAACAGTCAGAGTTGTGAATTGTAAAGGAAACGGAAGACAATTACAGATGTGATTAGTGTAGTGAAAGCTTCCAAATCTGAACTTAACCTTTACAGCAACTGCAACTGCAGAGGAGGAAAAGGTACTATTTCACTTCAGTGTTCTAAATGTTGGGAGAAAATGAAGTCACTGCTGGCTATTAAACATTACGAAGTTCAGTGGCTCCTTGATGAGGCTCGGCCAAGAATTCAATGACAAATTTTTTGGTTTCCAGCATCTGGAGCTGTGCGTGATGTTTACTTCAAACCACTTAATGGAAGTGGTCATTAGTGTCATTTCTGAGCAAAACTGCTAATGGTTTGCTTTTTGTAATATGAACATTATCGATTTGAGGAGGCCTGCGAAAGGAAACTCACCAAGTGTGAGGGGCTAGCCAGTGACTGTGCTAGGAGGGGCTGGAAGGTAAGGTGCATCTCAATCAAGGTTAGATGCAGAGGTTTTGCAGCTCGATCACTGTTTAGAGCTCTCTATGCACATTTGGATCCATGTGGATTAGTTTAGTGCCACCAAAACACAAGCTGAGGTCTGATCAGTCGCAGCTGGTTTATGTGGGGAAGGGTGTATGACCTAACGAACCCAGGAACATCACTGATGATGTGCCTAGAAGCATCAGTAGATGTATTAATTAAGTCTATCAGATCGAAATTGTAAACCTGTCTCACCAACGAGCACCTTAATAACGCCATTAGGGTCTCCCCTCTCAAGATACAAGCTCACATCTCAAGCTTCCTAATGGACGCCAAGCAGGGTCAATTACAATATTGAAATAAAGGTATGATCGTTTTTTCTTCATTCTAAAGATATAGACAATGCTATAGCATTTCATTTATATTTTAATTAATAATTCACTTACATTTTATAGACAATTCATTTATTATTGTAACATATTTTAGCATTAAATTCTATTTTCATTAAAAAATACATTTAACAATCAGCATGCTTTAATGTTTCAATATGTTTGAATGTTTTAGTGGCTTAGGACAGTTATTGTCAATCAGAAGTGGTACTCAATTAAGAATAGGCTCCAAAGGAGGCTGTACACCTCTAATTTAAGTAATCATTAGGTTATTACCATAGGAATGGAATTAGAAACCAAATATATATTACATTTGTGCTAATAAATAAACTATCACAATTAATTAAAAAAAATAAAAATGGACACATAAAATACTACTACAAAAAGCATTTAACTGGGTGTAACAGTATCTACCAAAAAATGTAGCTTTTTAAAAACCCAAACTTTATCACTGAATTGCACTCAAAAACAAAACAGTAGGCTGACATTTAAAATGACAAAAACACACAATGAAAGGCTAGTGAGAGGGAGTCATCTGTAAAACAAAAAACTTCAAGGGAAAACAAAGCTTGGTGTGCCGACATTCTGCAAGTTGCCAACTGACAGAGGTATTGATGTGCACTAATATTCCCCAAGAAATCTCAACCACCCCAAGATAATTGTTTGTCGATTCCTACAGGTCAACTGAGAAAGGAGCACTACTGCAGACTACAGATTTGGACAAACACAAAACTGAAGAACTGATCGAAATGTCTGCTGGTATACTGTATATGCACGTACTAATAAATCTACATGTGTAACAAAGGTTACAGGACAATAAAGTCCAATGAACAGAAAATGATTCTAGCAGGGAAATTTATCTGGACTCCAAGATTTACTCCTCAGTTCCACATGGCATTCTGAAATGTTAAAAGCATTTGAAATTGAATTTTTAAAATATGATTGGTCTCGGATAAATCCAGTTACATTATCAAGGCGTACAATGACATTCTTCAAATTGGTTTGGCTGATGTCAAATTTAGTAGAGCTTGTTGCAGCTTTAAAAACAAATGTTAAATACTGTCAAAACACACAAAAATATTTTCAGGAACATCTATGAAATGCAACAAACAGAAAAGCCGTACCCTTACCATAAAACCCCCGCTTGAAATGATTGTGACACATGGCAAGAGTCTGGTTAATCTAACACACTTGTTTGAGAAGCAGATGAAACAAATGAGGTTATTAAACACATTCCCAGCACTGGCAGATGCATGGAACAGACAGCACAATGAACAGAATGAGGGACAGGTAAAAAAAGAAAGTATTTAATTGAACCAGTTCACACTCTCAAGAAGTCACGACAGCCAACCCAAAACAAGTTTGGGTCCACATGTTGAATGTGCATCCCCTTGGTTTAGAAGTGGACCAATACAAATAACATGAAACACAATGGGGTTGCATTTAGAATTTTACAATTAAGCTGAAAAAATACCAGCTAAATTAAAATGTATCAGTTGTTAACAATTCAATGAATGCTGAAAGACGTGTTTCCTCGCTAGGCCACATTTTCACACAGCAATGTCAATTAATCGCTGACAGTGAATCAAAAGGAAATTATAACAAAATACCTTTCTTTCACTGAACTCTATGTGATATTTACGTGCTCGTTGTGAAATGTCTTTACTAGTTTTTCTTTACACTGTTTTAATATACGATTATGTAGTTATTTTAGGTTGTTACCATCAGTAGCAAATTATATATAAAAATAATACCACTCATTATTTTTGCTACAGTACTCATTTTCAGATTTCAGTTGCTTTAGTCTCTTCATATAAGGCAGTTATTCTTTTGATATATTATTTACATGTTCCTGGTGATTATTTTAACCCTCCAAATGTTTACTGAAAAATACTCCCACACTAAGTTTCAATGTAAAACTGTAGAACCCTCCTCCTAACTCTGTGGAAACCAACCACATCCATATGTGCAAGAATTTATGTTTTTTTTTTCATTTAAATTTCTTTCTGACGAACAGGTGAAAGCACAGTGTTTAAAAGAGGATACTTTCAACTAAAAGAAATTGGAACTAGGCATGGACGTAAATATCACAGTAGGAAAACAAAATCACAAACTCACCAACAAGCATTTCCTTAGATAAATGATGCAAAAGGATGTGTACAAAAAAGAAAAACATCTCTGGGACCAACTTCATATTAAACTGAATTAAAAAAAAAAGAAATATACTCTATAATTGGAGCATAACAGGATCCTTTCTGCTGTTCGTCAGCACTGAGAACCCCCTGATACTTTGTACCATGCTAATAATACTAATATGTCAGAAAGAAATTGCCAAGCTGAATTTCAGAATGTAGCTCACAAAAGGGCCTTTATAAGAGACTTAACCACAACAGAGATAACTTTTTTATCACAAGAATGAATCCACAGAGTTTTGAGAAAGAATAACAGACATCAAGAAAGCTTGTTTGTTTGATGTATTACAAACCCATCACCATACCATTGAAACTAGTCGTAACCTTTTTCGGTGTACAAGAGAAATGAATGTATTGAGTAACATAACATTTTACTTTTTACATAAATGTAAAAAAAAACAATTAATTTGGAATAGCCAGTATTGTGTTTTTCATTATCCCCTTGCCTTCACATGGCAGAGAAAGAGAAAGTAAAGGCTGGTTTCTCCGACCCAACCACCTCTCAGCCAGTCATCTTTCAACACATCCCCCGTTACTGGGTGGTGCTGCCTGGGGTTGATGGGGAGTGAAGGAGGCGCATCCCTCATCAGCAGCACTGCAAAGCTTCAAGCACCCGGGAGGCTGGTGGGGATCTGTACCACTGACAAGAACTGGGATTTCCCCGGCAGATTAATTCCACCCCACCCTCAGCAGCATTCAGCCTTCTGTGCTGCACCACTGCTTGGGCAGTCCCAGTCACAGTTATCTATTGACGTGACTCATGATTGAACCCAGGATCGCAGAGTTCAGCTAGCAATGTGATTCAGGATTGAACCCAGGATTGCAGAGCTCAGCTAGCAATGTGATTCAGGATTGAACCCAGGATCGCAGAGCTCAGCTAGCAATGTGATTCAGGATTGAACCCAGGATCACAGAGCTCAGCTACTGTAGCAACATCACTCATGATTGAACCCACAAACCCAACTCGGCACTGAATCCAGGATAGCAGGACTTGGGCAAGCACCTTCACCAATCAGATCACTCAGGAGGCTCTTTCTTATCAATATTAAACTTTTTATCTTTTTATCTAAAGAAAAAAGCAATGAATGATGGCAATATTAACTCAGGGTCTTACATCTTTTTTTTCCCCAAAACCAATTTAACTGTCATCGGTTTTCCTGTGATGCAGCTTTGTTTTTTTTTGGTTTTTATTCCTTGAACGACCAAAATTCAAGCCCTCTATTTAGTGAAAAGAAGAAAAGGGTTTCAATTATACAAACAAGTCAGAAATTTCAGAATTTGTTCTAAATTAGGCAAGTGCAGCAGTTACCATGGAAATAAGAAATTCAGAAATCATTTTACAAGCTGACAAGAAGAGGCAATGCCAACTCTACATACCAGTTTATAGAGCTCTGTAACACTGATTTCGTCAGGATCCACCATGCTAAACTCCTTCCTTGGGACAAGATCCAAACCCAGCTGTCTGTAAGAAAATAAGCTGTATCAGAAAAACCTCACAAAATCGAAAATCAAGCATATTCCCAAAATGTGCATGCCGTAATGCTATAATGTAGTCTTCACATACTGTTTACAAAACGTAAGTCTGTTGCAGGATCATAACCAACACCATTCAGTACTGAGTATACTTAGACTGTACCTAAAACTGATTTTTTAAGGCCAGTCTTCAGGAATGAAGTGGCTCCTGCTCATTAATATACAGTACCAAATAAAAATCGCCTTCATCAGCATTCCCCCCTCACAGAACACTGAAGGTGAAAAACCTCACAAAATAAAAAATCAAGCATATTTACAAATTGCTAAAAATGCCTTGTTTATCTTTCTATACAATACCTGTAGTAATGCACCAACCTAGAAACCATACTGTCTAACAAACATTAACCCCTACATCATGCAAGGTCTGTCTGTGAGCATTGTGCACATGTCATTAATAGAATACAGGTAATCCTACAACAAGCAAGTCAAATCCCAATTTTTCACACCTGTGCTGTGCATATAATCCTAAAGATATCTGATGTTTATTCCATAAGACAAGTAAATGCCTATTCTTATATTAGCTGCAGAAAAACAAGATCTCAATCTCAAATTGTTATGAGACAATCATTAATTAAATTAGCAATAAATTAAGCAGCCTGCAGGAACCTACTAAGTACAAACCATCTCTCGTTTTGCTCGATGACAGGAACATGTTTATTTACCTGTTTGAGGTATATGCATATTAAACTCAATGCTTGGCAACCTGGCAACAATTTTGAAGTAGTACAAAGAAATACATCAGAGACTGCAACATTTAGCATTTGATTTCATTTAAAAATAAAATAATGAAAGCCCATTATCCTTTTATATTTAAAAAAAATCTCACTGGTGCCTGAATAGAAAATCAAAGATTTAGTAACCTGGTCTCTGCAGAGAGTGTTTCTGACATGAAAAGAAAGCTGCAGAGGCTCAGCTTCAGTGAAATATGAGCGGCAATGCAAGGATGCACCAATATGAAGATTAATATGATGCCGAGTTAAAGCTGCCGGTGGATGGAAGGATATTTTTGGAAGTGTTATTTCAACAGCGAGTACAGCAGGCTTCTTACTCACTCGTTTCCCCAGTCAAGCCGTGCAGTGATGTGCTGCTTAACGTCTTTCATTCGATCGTGAGTGAGGTGTCCAACGAGGACCTGCCTGCGCAGATCTAAAATCTCATTCATTACATGCCACAACCGGTGGAACAAATCCCCTTCATTCCTCTGCAAATGAAGACAGAAATTCACTTTCATGCGATAAATCTTAGGCGAAGCTCTGAAAAAAACGAATGTCACTTGGTGGTGATGAACAAATTTTAAATAAAATGTACATTCAATTAAATATCAAACATTCAAACAATCTCCCAGCTTCTTAAAACACAGCAGCTTCACTAAACTATGAAAAATGGCAATTATACAAAGAGACCCATTAAAAGATTCTATAACAGACGTGAAAGGATATTTTCGATTTTATAGTTACTTTGACTGATAAATTGTTTTGTAATTTTATAAGTACAGTTTCCTCAATATTTTAAGAACAGGCCTCGTAAGGGACTTTATGGACAGCATATCAACTATTCTATGGAAGAAGTGCTTTTAATAAGAAAGCACGTGATTAAATATAAAAAAATCAGACTTTTGCTGAACATGGCAAGGAGCTTCTTGGGAAAACAAATCTTAAACTTCAGAGATTGTGTGCTTGGTTTGTAGTGCTTGATGAATTACACCCTATGCACCTTTTAAGAGAAAAAGGCAGTCAGGAAAATCAAATCAGCAAAAAGGGAATTTCAAGGGTCTATGTAGCCATGTATCTAATAAAGCACTAGGCATATATCACTCCATAAACTTGCTTTCTTTGCCACCATGACAGTCTCCCTCAACAGAAATGTCATGCAGTACCATGTACAAATGCTTATACAGGTTTGAAAACCAACAGTAATGTGATCTAACGGATCTCCATTTTATCTCTGTGTATGTGAACAGAGGCATTTCATGTCAGTCATTCCAGCTGAGAGTACAGGGTACAGAGCTATATTAAATGAAATGCAATGTGGGTCAGATCATTTTTTTTAAATAAATCATACAGAAATACATAAAACATAATAAGGCATACAGAAAATATTGAATATGTAATTCTTCAAAAAAGCTAATAAAGTTATTATGTAATATGTTAATAGGTTCTTGGTTAAGTACAAATTAGTGTTTACCACATAGAGTTGCTTCCACATGGTGCCCCAGTCTCTCAAAGTTGACGTCATCTCTGTGATAACAGAGTCTTCAGTTGGAATGACTGTTTCAAATTGTCTACAGTAGAAACAAACAGAATCATACCTTAAACCTTCTACCTTAATTTCTGCATTTACAATGGATTAACTGCGGTCATTACAGAAATAAAAGTTAAAACTGCAACAAACCTTTAAATTTCACCAGCCACAAATTAAACTGTACAATATGCTGCAGTTTAAACATTTTTTAAAACTGAAAAATCATAAGAGATTTAAAAAATCTGAACAGATAAAATACTATTACACAGAAATAAAACTCATGTTTTATTTTTACGTTTTCATTAAAATTATGTATTCATCAATTTACCTTTTTGGTAGTTAAAAAATAACCTTCTTTTAATATTTCCTTTTACCTGCATGCCTTAGGCAAATTCTAACATTTATTATGTGCTTGTTTTTTCATATGACAGTCAAATAGACCATTCTAAATTTGCCATTTTGATCATATTGTCAAACGAAAAGACACACCCAGATTGCCTGTAAAATGATACGGCTGAGAAAGTCTCAAACTAATTATTCAAAAATTACATCTGAAAAGGGGACATTAAGTTTAAGAGTCTAAGATTTGAAAAAATCTAAAATGTACCATTTACTGCACATTGAACTCTGTCAAATTTGGTCTAGAACCTACTACAATGAATGTCAGTCAAATCAAGTCTTCACAGACTGAAGGCATATGTAAAGACATTGAAGGAAGAATTCTTCATATACAGTAAATCAACCCCCAGCTGGTATTACTCACCCCTTGTTCTTAATACTTGCATTTTTCAGGTGAATATAGCTTGATGGAAAAATTCCCTGAGAAAGAAAACATTAAGAGAAGTGAACAAAAATATTTTTCATTTTTGTTGAGTGTTTTGTCCATATTTAAAACAATGACATTTAACAGTTTGCACTTGTGTTTAATTATAAAGAGAAAACTGCGGAAGCTTATTATTAGGGCCTTGGAGAAAAAAATGATCTTGATTATACCAGAAAATTATTGCGTTTATACATTGTTACTACAATAATTTAATTTGTGAACAATGTTGCCTACTATATTAATAGAATGCATTATATATGCAATACCACTGTCCTGTATAAAGTAACTTTGACTAACACCACTAGAAAATCATCACACTATTCTTCGAGGGGGAAAAAAGAATAATTAAAAGGAGCACATGCAGCTTTCAAAACATATTCTGTTACATACGGGACTGTACATACTGTAGGTTTTGAACGAAATACATTCATGACGGCTCGATAGTAACACGAATACCAACAAATCCCAGGTAAGGGGAAAAAAATTATAAACAGATGAAAAAAAAATAGTTTTTTGTAACAGCCAGACATATAATTATAATGAGTTGAAAATAACAGGTCATTCCTCCTAATTCCCACTTTTCTGTATAACGTACTACAGATTAAACATTTATTACATTCCATACTTTCACACAAAAATTCAATGCTGACACGAATCTTTTAAATTACCTTACCTTGGCATTTGGATTCTTTAAAGCAAATCCTCTGTACCAGCCTAAAAAAACAATATGTGCATATCAGGATTATGAACATAAACATAAGATAGTCCTAATTATGTACTGTTGTGCCTATAGATGTCAATGAAGGCACAGAAAAGACCTCATTAATTTATAATTAACTCCTTAAAACATGAATCACTAGAAATAAAATGATCTTTACAGGCTTGAAGTGTTATTTTTTCACCTGCACAAATTATACACACAAATATTGAAACACAAATACAAGAACTATTTATTGAAAGCCACCTCACATCCATTAGTATTAGGTCTTAACAGAAGCAGTCCTGAAACAATTGTTATATCACTAAAGACAATGGCTGTCAAAACATTTGTTACCAGACTCTGTAAATCAGTATTCCACAAGAAGCAGAGTGTGGTTTCAGCATTTCAAGGCTTTGAAAGCTCCGTGCATCGTATATTAAACCACATCTGTTCATTAGGGAAGCTGTTTCACTGCAACGGCCAAGCTTTGCTGCACTAATTAGAAATAAATGACACTAAACCTTTTATTTAAGTACCATAAATGTCTGTGCCGATATGTGTTTTTCAAGGTTTAGTTTAATAATATCACAGTAGAGGATAAAAGTAGGCAATTTTAGCTAATTAAATGGAATGATAAGAGACCAGCTACCTAAAGAACAAAAGTTTAATGTACTGTACTCTGTCACTGATATCGAAAGAAATACCACAAATCTGAAAATTTGGAAGCAGGGTCAACTGAGTACACTGTGCAAGACATTCAATCCAAAAGATTTATTACCCCCTCTCATTATTAAATGTATGCAGATTTTTTTCATTTTGCTTTTGTTCTGGTTCAGACATTTTTACTTTGACATAAAAGAGAAAAAAAAACTGACACTTTTTCAACCCTTACAAATGAAGGAAAAATGGAAGGCACTTTTTATTCTACAGAGTTGTAAATACGGTACAGTATCTTTAAAATCACCCCACCTAGAAAAAAGGCAGATTCACTACTGAATTAAAATGAGGTGGCTTTTGAAATCAAGCTGTGACCAATGTTTTGGAAACTTCCAACACTTCATTCATCGTTTGAAGGAGCATTCACCTACACACTGCAATTGGCACATTAAACAAGCAATTTCTTCAAAATACATTAATATGACAGTATTGTTTGTTTACAGTGTGTATATAGTTCAGAAGAATTGAATTTTGCAAATAATTTTACTATTTCCAAGAGTCTCTCCCTGCATAAATTGAATTTTACTTTGGGTTTCAGTCTAGAACATCTGTAGAAACTCAACAACAAATCCCACAATAAAAATAACTCAAAATATTAATTATAACATTATTGTCCCAATGAATACATCAAATCACAGACCAATCCATAAACAGAACTATGGCCTTTAGCTTGAACTGCACAATTTAATTCAGTTTTCCTTTTTTCACCCGAGCTGCTAGGCAGTTCACAGGCCCATTCTACTTGCAACTTCTTGTATAGTTTATCTTCATTGCCTTGCCACCCAAAAATTCAACTTTCTTGTGATGACCGAATCCATCCTGCTCCCCCTCAAAAGGGGCCACTGTTGGTTCTATTATTTCCTGAGCAGCAACGGTTAGCTACCACACTGGTAGCAGAAACAACACCAACAGATGAACACTGGGCATGAAACAGCTGGACATAGTACAACATTATGCTCTTGGCATTTAAGATGAGGCCAATTAGTAAATAAGTAGATATTTGAAGGTTAATTGAAAGCAATGCTAATAATAATCACAGTGGGCCTGACTGAACAACCAGACACAATAAAAATGACCTTAATAGTGGGGAAAAGCTGCCAGTGGGGAAAAGGCCCATCTAAGGAGTACAGCTAAAATCCCTCTCAAAATCTGTTAGAATGCCTAGAGGCTATTTCATTTCCTCTATGGCTTGGTATTATTTTAGAAGCTTTCCATTCACAAAGGGACTGAAAGATATTGTATCTGCTACCTGAATGTTCACACAACAATGCAACAGATGGTTCAATATCTCCTAGGGCTAAGCCTTTCAGGTCAAATTAAAACCTGTCAGCCATCTATTCAAGTTTTAGCCAATCACTAGCTTAAGGCATGAACTAGATTTCTGCAGAATTTCATAAGTAGACAGCAATCTTTTGCTTAAAATTCAGTAGATATGACAGAATTTGGTCATAAACCACCTGAGCTTTAAGTAAAATTGCTAAGAAAAAAGTAAAATAACGGGGTCTGTTTTTGAAATAGTATGTTAAAACTGTAACTGTACAAGCTCCTACTGTCAAAATAAAACGTTAAAAATAATTTTATACTAATTAAAATCTCATTAAACCTGGAATCTAGTAGTACTTTTTATGTATAGTTCAACAGTGATGCCAAATCCTCTCTTAAAAACAGAATCTACAGATTTTTAAAATGCAGGACTGCATTTCCACCCATGCAAACAATACTGAAAACACAATCATTGCAAAATGAACAAAGTAGTAGTTTGTGGAGGATGTAGAGTAATGTTACAACAGTAAGACTGCAGTTGTGGTCCTGTTATGAGAGGTGTTCCCTGTGCTGTCTGCCCCACTCCTATGGGCTCCACTGGTAAAAGATGCAGGCTCGAGGATCATGGGAGTGGCCCTGGGTCACTACACTAGATGACCCGCCAGAATGAACTAAGCAGTAGTGCACAACTGGCCAAGCCTTGAGCTTCTCATCATCCCCTGAGGCCTCTCAAGTGCTTTTTTTCCCTGATCTTACTGTAAAGTGAAGAAGTGAAAACAACACTCAGTGAAAGCAGTGCTTTCAATGGTGTTCCAGGACCTTGACAATATTAAGACCATAAATGTAGTATAAAAATAAACAGTTATCTAAATAAATACATTGTAAGCTGATTTGCACTGCTACTTTCCACAGTAGCTCTGGATGTGAAGAAACTGCACAGCCATCACAATGTCACACAACAGTTACTGAAGAGCACTATGGGACAGCAAGCAATGCGATACAATAACAGCAGCCGGACACCAGCACAATTCTGCATGTTTTAAGTGTTTGGTGTCTTTATTAAAATGAATATCAGGCAACATTATTCATCTGGCAGGCTATTTACTCATAGTTTTGCCATAAAAGAAAAGCATGTCTTCTTTTTCTAAATGTACTTGCTGTTCACTTGCATTCTTGTTTTTCAAGTTCTGCTCCATCTAGATCTTAGTTTTCATTTGTATTTTTGCTACAGTCTATGGGCAGACCACACCACCGGATTGAGGAAACTGAGGACATTTGACACAGGTATTTTGCTGTTAAAACAGAGAAGTGACTTCATTTATTGAGAGCCTTAATTTACATGTAAAAATGTAACATGCAAAAGAAGGAAAATACATAGAAAAAAATGTGTTTTAGGCTGCACCAGCTGCAGCCTACAGCACATTACTTAAGTTCAAGTGCAGACCGTACCTCCCATCATATCCACTGCACTCTGTCACATTATGAACAAATCTTGAATGATTCTACCATGTGCATTAGTGTCCATCTGCTGTCAGCCATACTTGCTGATTTTGATTACAATTAAGAGTATGTACATAGTACACAGGGTCAGTTTTTGCTTAATTATTTTCTTTTGGTTCTTTATTTATTTAATAATTCAAAGAATATACTGTAAGAATGTAAAACCTTTTTTTCCAGCACATAATTTCATTGAATATTTACCAAACTTACAACATTATAGTAGAACTGTAAAAGATTAATAGCTTACACTAATAAACCTTCATAGTAATGTTGTTTATATGATAAAGGTGATACAATGACTGCCACATAACTTTAGTCAAATTAAAAAATTGAACGCAAAAACATGTGACTATTCCTCGTTTATGAAGAGTTGTCACCCATGTAGCTTGATCTAGTCAGATCTGAGAAGCTTAGCATGGCCAGATGTGCTCAGTACTGGAGTGGAGATTCCACCAAGGACAACAGGCCAGCTGCTTGCAAGGTGGGTTTTTGAGTGGTTGTTTCTGTAGGTGGCACTCGTCCCGCTGGCCCAGAACTTTAGAAACATTCCTGTTTGTTATATTGTGCTTCTTGGTCACTGTGGTGTAGGAGGTTTCATCGATTGTACGAGATATAACAAGGTCATGACTGCTCGGTCATAAAAGATGTCTTGGCACTGTTCACAGGAGAAGAGGTGTTACCCCATGTCCTAATAGTGTTCTAGTCAGGACTTGTATCATCTGTCCTAGACAAAGTTCCCCCATCATTCAGGGAAGCAGTTTAAATTCTCTACCTGACTTGCTCTCTGTGTGTGTGTGTGTGTGTGTGTGTGTGTGTGTGTGTGTGTTGAGGGGGCAGCTGCTGGTGCTTATTGACTGCTGAAGCTCAACCAGGTTGGATGTGCACTTTGTCTGCAGATCAAAAACATCCTCCTCCTATATTTAAAGGACTTGGGAAAGAAATGTGCTTTGCAAATCAGTTATGAAGAAATGCTTTAACATTTAGAAGTTATTTAAAACCATAATTTCCTTTCAAAGGCTTTAAAACTACTTTTGCACTTAAAATTAGAATTTCAAAAATTTGTATTACAGACTATTCACAGAAGGTCTGAGGAGCAGCGACCAAGTCGCTGGGAAAGGTCTAGAACTATGACTCCAAATGATTTTCTATTAATCTTTTTATTAATACATTCTTGAGAAGCCACAAAAGTACGTTCAACTGTTGCATGATTTTTGGTTTCTTTTTCACAACATTTAGAAAAAAATCATTTGTAATTTCTAAATTTTTTGTACAAGTTAATACTTCCATAGAACACCGTCATTTCACAGCAAACCAATGTCCTGTCTACCTCCTCTCCTGAATATTTGATTTTGGGCACCCCTTTCAAGTCTCAGTGCCACTGCTTAGTATTGCCTAGGCAGTTATGTTACATACAGTGTCTTGTAAAACTATTTCATACTGTATGCATCACAGTAATTCTTATTACATTATAACTACACGTCAACACAGTCAAAACAAACACTGGTGCTTTCCAAACTGACTTTTCATTTTCTGCTGTCTTACTCATAATATCCAAGTGTTTAGTCTTGGTTTTCATTGGTTAGCTGGTAAACACTCTGAACAAATCTGAATCAGGTCACTCCCTTAAAGTCTGGACATCAGCCACTGAGGCATCCATGCTAGGAGTGCTGAAACCCATCTCATAAAAGGCATTAGAACACAAAAAGTCAGCTCTTATCTCCACCTAACATCCATCCATCTATTTGTAGGTCACAGGATACCTGCTACTGCCATTTTAATGTAACACATGTATGGGAATGTATTTTTTTCTTGGGAACAGTAAAACTACACAATGGTGCTGTTAAATCTTGCATCCTTAACTTCCAGAATACAGTAGGTTAAATAATGGAAATAACAATAATCCCAGAATAGTACAATAATCTATTATAAAATGTTAAACAAAAGGGTGCACAAATTTAAGCTGTTAAAACAAAGAAATTACCTTCACATTTCTCCAGTATCTGCACTGTGTCCCCAATCTCCAGTGATAAGCTGTGCTGCACTGTCCCTCGAAAAGTGGCCAGGGCTGAAAATCAATCAAAAGAAAAGAGCTTTGTAATGCATCTACCTTGAGGATAATAAAGGTCAATATAATGGTTAGAACACATTTAAAATTTCCAGAGCTTTTTCCTAATTTATAAATGTATACTATTTTATATCAAATCTTGGTCTTCATGAGCACACTTACTTAGCTTTAAGAATTAAAAAAATAAACTTTTTTCTTTTATCTTCTGTCTTGCAAATTTCATTTTAGGAGAACTGCATTTAAATAAAGAAAAAAAGAAATGATGAATTTTTAAATTGGAAAAGGCTTATATTTCACCATGCACACAAATTACTTCATAGGTTATTTTCTGTGCATTTAACCATGAAAGGGCTACTACATAGATCAGAGATGGCTCAGACTAAATCCAAGTCTTTGATGAGCAATCTGGACCAAGCTTATTGCAAGGGGGATGAGAGAAATCTTATTTGATTAGAAAAGGCCAGTTTAAGCCAGCTGGATCGAATAGCACTACTGCTGGGGAGAAGACCAACAGAGTGCCTTTTTATTTCTCATTTAAGACTTTCCTCATTTAAGAAGGTATTTTCCAAGGAGCCCTCTCTGGTACTAAAACACTCTTCTTTACTATGTACACGTTTAACTTTAAGCAGGTTTTTGTATGGAGTAAAACTTAATAATAAAAATTAAAACATGCAATATTTTGGTCTTCATTACTGACATTTACAAGTGGAATTTAATCAGCTGTCATTAACATTAATTATATCTTTTTTCTGTTCTCCTCCATCACTTTAAGAGTATACAGTGTTTTTGAGTGGTCAGAATATGTATAAAACAACACAATAACAGTGTGCACTAGATAAAACATTTTTTTAATTCTAAAAGGGTAAGAAAAACACAAAACCGCAATTAATTTTAACACAACAATCCACACTCACCTACTTAACCTTGCCAATTAATTCTATTACATGACATATTCAAAGAAACAATCAGCTACAAATACATGAGCCTGACCATTCATCTATACATTTATCTGATCAGTAGCAGCATTAGTAATAAAATACTTCTTCTGTTTCCAAGACCACAAACTTGACCCCAAGCAACATAATTTGGACTGGATTTGCCTGCTCTTAGCTGTTGCAATTTCTTTTTATGACCTGATAGACAAGACCAGACGGTTTGCCGCAACCCCCCGTGAAGCTACTGTGATTGCATTTTCTTACTGTATACTATAAGTCACAGTGCTAATTTTCCAAAATTGACTTCAAGATTTAAAAAAACAAAAATAATTAATTATGTAGCACATAAAATAATAGTAGTTCAGGTGGGTAGCTGCGTCAGCATGCGTAGGCTGCAAAGGAACAAGTAATAGGTTTATTCCATGCTGAAAAAAAGAAGAGGTGTCACCTGAAGAAGGCTCCACGGCCGAAACGTTCTGTTCGTTTTTTTTTTCAGCATGGAATAAACCTATTACTTTTTCCTTTGCATAAAATAATAGGTTCAAAATCACCCTATTTACAGCCGCTGTATAAGTGATTATTCAACAAAGTTCATTTTTACTTCAAATTCTTTTGAGACTTCCACATCACCACTGTTGTCTGTCTGCAAACGACACTGCCACGACTTTGGCACTTAAAATAATTTGCTTTTTTGTTCCTCAATTCTGAATATCTGGATATTGCCTAACTTGACATAAAGGTGCACCACATATTTCCAACTGAATGTATCCACATATGAGATTCTCTCTTTCTTTACTTAATTTGACAACAGTACATATGCTTTTTTGGTATGGGGGGAGATAAAAAAAATACGGTTAAGTAATATTTTTTGGGGAAAAGAACAGGGTATTTATACATGGGCCGAAAGCAAAATTCATAGCACCTTGTATTCTAGACAGCCTTCGTAATATACATGACGGGTCACACTGTTCTTCATAAGGAGGAGAACTATAGCAGCAGAAACAGGAGGTCATACAGTACTTCTGTTCTCTGAACAAAGGACTCCTTGGGCAAAGTAAACATTATCCTGCCAGATTTTCCAGTTTGCACTGCTGTTTCAAGCCCTTTGCTCCATGGAATAAAAACTGCTGCTATGCTACACATTTGAGATATATATATATATGTAACTTCTAGTAAGGATTCCATGTGAATTTATCCTGGTGCCAATACCCAGACACTAGGTTTAAAGACAAATAGTGGTACCCTTATCTGAAATCAGTAAATTTACCTCAGATCTCACTTTGAAATCTTACTGTTAAAGTAGTAATACCGTCTACTACTCCCTTGAATGCAAGGTGTTCAGTGCTCAATGAACTTGGAAAGATATCACTGGCAATAAATGCAGCTTAACAAACAACATTGCACTAAATTAGTAATTAACACTGTTCAAAAATGAAAAGTCACAGTACTTGTCAAAAACCGTATATAATTGAAATATAAGAACTTTACTTTGAAGGACATACGGACTTAAAACACATATCTTACTTTAACGTGATCATTGTAACAATCACACTCATTTCTGCATTGACAGCCAATGTACAGTGGTGCTGTATCACAAAACATCCATAATTCATGGAAGCATTAATATGCAGATTCATAGCTGTTGATGGGTGGGGAGAGCTCATTGACCATGCTGCCAAGCAAGTATGAATAATTCATCTAGAGGAGTGTGTTTTGGACTCTTGCTGCATATTCCAAAATTTATGAAAGCTTATAAATTTTTTACCAAACTGGAGTACTTCATGAAAGTTATTTAATTGAAGTTTTTAAACCAGCAATCATCCACAAACGATACTAGAAATACTGCTGTACTTTGCACAACCCAGCAGCTGAAGGTTTTCAATTACTGCTCATTCCACTATTTGAAATACAATTCACATCTGACATTTATGCAGGCATTCAATTTCTTTAAAAAAAAGTTGGTGTCAGACATAACCTTTGAAGAGACTCATTTATACTTCATCCACTTATGGTCAGACTAATGTTCAAGTCTATAGTAAACACACAAATAGAAAACAACATGGATTGCCTTAAGGTCAGAGGGCTTACAAGTACAGTGAAAGCAATTGAAAGCATTAGGGTAATTCTCAAGTTCACTTTAAAACCGGCAAATAAAGGCCACTAAAAACAACACAGTCTTGAACTGTAGTACCTGGTTGCTTCTGTTCTTTTCCATCTCTTCAAGGCCCTATAAAGGAAATGTTCTCTTGCAGATGGTAGACTTTCCATCCAACTTAGCAAAAGACTTTTAGCTAAGAAGTTACAAATTCAATTTCATCATCAGGGCTGAGGCCTGTGTGCAAGCATCTGTGACGTGATATGGCCACCTGACCTCTTCTGTCTGTAGCATGACAGTTTCAGCAACGATAATAATCTTCTAAGGCATACTGTATGAGAGGTAACTTCTTTTTCAAAGCCATATTAGTACTGTTGCCACCCGATTATACATGCCCAAAGCACATTCAGTTTAACCAGCTGCCAGACCTCCAGCAAGGTGGGAAGATTCAACATATTTTCTTGGTCAAGTACTTGAATATTGAACTGAGCAAGGAAAGCCCCAATATCTTTAAATTTGACCTCACAATTTACATTCCATAAAACGTGAACTTTGTGTTTATTGGTCAAAATGGCTCATAATAACACAAATTTAAAATGTTTATCATCCGTGCCAGCGGTGTAAATGTCCTCTGACGTGAAATCCCATCAATATTTGATGACGTCAGTGCAGGTAGGGTGCCAGGCTAACAGTATCTCTATCTAAATATACAGAAAAAAAATCATTAGGTTTTTTAACTGCATTGCCCAGAATCTAGAAGTGAATTTAGTCATACTACCAGAAATATAATCCAGGTGTTTTATAGTTCTACTGTATATCTTTGAGCCTTGGCAAACATCAATTCAATTGTGTTGACAACCAAGACAGAAATGTCCACAGAGACAGAGATGGGTCACAAAATCAGTTTAAGTTCCTGAAAATAACTTATTTTGTCAAGTGATAAAACACTTTATACCATAATTTCAACCTGAGCAAGATAAGATGTGTAACATACTGTAAGATGACTGTGTAAATAAGAGAGGGTGTGCAGGGCTGTCTCTGCAGAAAACACTTATCCACAGCTCAGAACCCTGCCATGTCATTAGAAATTAGGAGTAGAAGCTTGTAACTAGACAACACGGGGATGCTGTCTGTTATGTTAATGTTACATTTTTATATTTGAGGCTTCAATTCACATTCTGTACGCCTATTCTTCTCATGGAAGAAAGCATACAGTATGTCGCAGAGACATGGAGAAAGTCTCCGAGATGACAGGAGACATTTCATGAGCCAGACTGTAACGTTTTGGATATTTGTATGTGCGTACAAAAGAAGCAGCATACTTTGCTTAGAGGGACAGACACATGGGCTTTACACAGATGAGGAAATTCCCAAGTGTTCTAGCCAAATGTGTTAAATCATTAAGGTGAAGTACAGTAGCTATTTGTGAAAAGGTGTAGGTTAAGTTCCTGGTTGTAATATTAAATGTCAATACCTTTTTATAAGGATCTTCTTGTTCTAATAAACTACTGTACATACAACAGAAACCAGCCCCTTTCATCGGTTTACTACTTAATATATTACTTTTAAAATAAACAGTTTCACTGTTTTACACATTTATGGCTGAATTAAGAGGATTCAACCATTTTTAGATTTTCAAGGAGATCACTTATGTGCAACATTGTGTCAAACAATTAAAAATGTTCTTTATCACAACGCACGTTTAACTTGAAGGTGTTGTATCTGTGCTGAAACCCATACAGACATGAGTGTCTGGAACATCTGTGAAGAGGTTAAGGTTTCAATGTAGGTTTATTCGCGTATGGTCCCATTTTTCCTCATTATTAATTATCAGAAACAGAGATCCTTACAAGAAAGTAGTTTTTTAATACTTCCAGCTGGCAACAGCTCTGATAATTTAAAGTTCAACAGGACTGCTTGGAAATTAGCAAACAAACTCCCAAAACATTAGCACAAAACACTCACATTTG